TTTTTTCTTCACTCACACATCAGCGATCCCACTTTTGGATCGCGACCCACCAGTTGAGAACCACTGCTCTAGATGATGCATGTTGGTGTTAAAATAAAGATGTCATCTGTCCTACAGCATCCGGACGGAGATGAGGGACGTGCATCAGAACCTGGGATACTGTCCTCAGTTTGACGCCATCGACGAGCTGCTGACGGGGCGCGAGCACCTGGAGCTTTACGCCCGGCTACGAGGAGTCCCAGAGAAAGAGGTCGCAAAGGTAAATAGCCAATGTAAATGTGTTGTGAAGCTCTTATACATACCCTCCCATGTTCTAAATCTTCAATATGTTAAAAAAAAAAAATTCTAGCCAAAGCTGTGAGACACGTTGCATTGAGGAGGCAAATATCAGTTATATTTTCACTATAAGAATACTTGAAGTGTACTTATGCAGGGTGATGTGGAGGTGATGGACGACCTCAGAGCAAGCAGCCTTACATAATGAAGCTGCCTGCTGGTGCAGAGCAGCAGCTGAGGGTCACTCTGCATTATTCACTGTGCTGCTACTGAGGCCCTGTGCACGCTCTGCAGAGAGGAGATGAAACGAGGAAGAGGCTGGGGGGCCGGGGGGGGCCCTCAGACCGGAGCCAGAGCTTTGATATCTTCACAGCACAGGGATCCACTTCCTCTTGTGGCTGTGGCCCCTGTGTTGTGCCTTTTTTGGGCAACAATTCTGGATGCAAATGGAGCCTTTTGTGTATTGTTATTTGCATATTGCACATGCCACAGGGTGCATTTTTAACTCCCTAACATGGACAGCAGGCAGTCTACACCTCTTCATCTCGGACCAACACAACAAACATAAAAACTGTGTTGTACTTAAAAGATCTAGCACATTTTTAAGCTAACTGTCAGATAACTATCTCAAGTGATGCACAAAGGTTAAAAAGGAAAGCCTCATTGTTACAGTAGACATTCAGAACTTCACGCATCATGTAAAATGGGATATTGTGGTTTATTTGAACACATTTCACTTGATGTACCCTCTAAAGGTGGCAGAGTGGGGGGTGCAGAAGCTGGGGCTGGTGAAATACTCCAACAAGTCTGCAGGGACGTACAGTGGCGGGAACAAACGCAAACTGTCCACCGCCATCGCGCTCATCGGCTGCCCTCCTGTCGTCTTCCTGGTGAGAGACGCTGTGTAAATGTCTGTGTGTGGTTGGAAATGATGCGCTGCTGTTCCATTATAAGACTTAGCAGTGTAATGCTTTGAATCAATATTGATGCGTGCGGATGTTTGGATTACAGTGTTGATTCTCTGAACAAGCACACAGACTGAAATTCAAAAATGTGTAGAAAAACAAGTTTTGGATCACTGCAGGAATACTGAGACCCTATTGAATGGTGCATAACGTGTGGATGAAAAGGCGTTTTAGTTCAAGCTCTGGTCATGCTTGAATTGTATTTCCTCAAGAGAGAACCAATTGGAAGTGTGCACGTTTTAAATTCCCCTTAATCGGTTATTATATTTCTATTCATCAGGACTTAAAAGTAAGCCCATTCCTCACTAATGGAAGATTAATGGAGGCATGACTCAGCATTAAATGCATCACATGGTTTAATGAACTGCTTAAATGTGCATTAGGGAGTTGTCTGTGTTATTATGAGGGACAAACTCAAATGATCACACTGAGCAAAATATACATTTCATTACGATTATTAAGATGTTTTTTGATTAAATACATGTCATCTCACTTCATACATCACGAAAACCATTACTTAGCATCATTTAAAGCAATGCATTAGATGCTGATTATAATTTTCTGCATGTAATAATTTTCTGCATGTAATAATGAATGCATAATAAATCAATAATATCCAGAATAATCTCTCCCTCCATGTTCGTTTCCTGGCTCTGCACACGTCCAGACCCTCTTCTGTTTCCTCTCTCTGAGGCGGGGGGTTCATGTGTGTCACTCTCCGTATTGTGTCTCACACACACGGACACACACTCTGGGCACACACACTGGGCAAACATGTAGATACCCTGTAGGATGTGCAGTGAGGCCGGGAAGCAGACGATGGAGCGAGTACTGACAGTCTGTAATCATGTACAGACAGACCAGCCCTGAGGAGAGAGTGTGTGTGTGTCTCTCTGTGTGTGAGAGTGTGTGACTTGTATTTCCCTCTATATTGACAAACAAGCAGTCCTACAGTACATCGTCAGCAGAAGCCTCTATTAGACAGATTGAACTCTTCGAAACATTTCCTTTTCTTCATTATCTTTTGATTTTTTCAGTCAGTCCAGGTACCCCATGCTGTGGTAATTGCTAAATGTTGAATGATTGCTTGTTATGACAATAATGTAAAATGAAAGAAATTCAAGTTTATAATAATAAACTTGAATTTCTTTGATTTTACATTATTGTCATTGCATTGTTGAAAAATCTGGGAAAATGCAGTTAGCATACCAACCAGGAGTGCATGAGAAGCATGAAGTTGCTGTGTAATGTAGAGGTATAATATAAGTTTATAAATATGACACATTACAGTATGAACAATATTAAAAGTTATAAACATTAAGAACTGTAGTTTAAATTATGAACCTACAATAGAAATACTTTTTTTGGCCGGGACCAAATTGTAGTATTTCTTAATTTCTAAGAAATGTATTATATTATAATTATTATATAATGTTATTTTAATTTTCCTTTATTTTTATAACTTATCCATATATGTCTTTATTCACTTATTTTCCTGTATTTATTTATTTATTTTTGTTTGTTTATTTTATTTTATTATTTGTTTATATTTTTAGGCTTTATTCATTAATAATAAAACTGAAAAGTAATGAAATAATAAAAATGCATTTAATGTATATTGCTTTTCTAAGCATTCAAATGAACTTTACAAAAAATAATACAATTTAAATAAATCAAATATTTATGTGTTCCTTTTATTAAATTATGTGAATGTGTCACTCATCTGGATATTAACAATGATTTGTTTACAGTAGATTATTGCTGTAAACCAAATGTGTTATTCCTTTAGGACGAGCCCACCACAGGCATGGACCCCAAGGCCCGGCGCTTCCTGTGGGACTGCATCCTGAGCGTCATCAAGGAGGGACGCTCCGTCATCCTGACCTCTCACAGGTGCAGCAGCACATCCATTTCCTCTCATGCACACACTTCAACATAGAAATATTGACTCTCTTCCCCAGGATAGCAGAGCTGCACGAGCGTAATTGTAATTGATTGGCGCTCCTCTTTAGTTGTGAGGAATTGTTAAAAGCGTGGCCGTTAAATCAACAGTGACACACTGACTGCTGGGAAGCTTTCATGAGGCCGCGTTGACCGACTGCCGTGAAAACAGAAACTGTCGATATCTTTTCAGCAATTCCTGCAGCTACTTTTCCCCCTGTCATTCTGAGTGAGGAGAAGATTAAACGTCTAATCTTTTTTGGAAGTTGACGTGGATATGGAACATTTCACATGCCTATTCATTTCACCATTTCCCAAATCGCCTGAATCATTTGCGCCCCTGCTGCAGGAATACATTAGGCTCATTACATGTTGTTCTCCCTTCATGGAGGAGTAAAAGCATTTGTTGTAAGCGAGGCGGTGTGGCTTAGCGGCGTCCAATGGGCCGTGGCGTCACCAGGTGCCGGTGTTTTGTTAAGAAGCACTTCACAACCTTTTACAAAGTGATAATCCTAATTACACAATCCCTCAGAAAGGTGTTACCTCTACTTCAAACACTGCTGCAGCCAGAGGAAAATAAGAAGTGCGTACTGTATGGTCCCTTTTTCTCCCCCTAATTACCACCTTCATATTAAGTCTAAGGTGTTAAAGTAGAAATTCCAAAATGCTCTTTTTATTTTTCTATTTACCTTTTTCTAAACAGGACACAGTCTCATTAAAATTGTTTGGAAGTGACACAATTAGTTGTCCCACTTTGTTGAGGCTTCTTAAGAAGCAAGTTCAAATAAACTGAATACAGTTTACTGACAGTCATTTAAAAGGACCTGCACAGAGATGGAGGTGGCAGCAATAAGTCGCCCATCGTTGGGTGCCAAATATGTCCTGGAGAAAAACACAACTCTCATACTAAGATGAAAGCCGACAGATGGATTCACAGGATGTATTCATTAAATATACTCATTGCAGGTCAACGATAAAAGTCCTGCCTCTACTTGTTCCGGTCTTCTTTTATAGCCTTCACATTAGCTTCTGTTCCTGTGCTATTTTTAAATATGGTTTATACTGGTATCTGGGTCACAGTGACATGTTCCCATTATAGTCCTACAGGTGCAGTTTCCTCTGGTGTTAATACTGCTTGTTATTCCTGCTTTCCCCATCAGCATGGAGGAGTGTGAAGCTCTCTGCACCCGCATGGCCATCATGGTCAACGGTGCCTTCAAGTGCCTCGGGAGCATCCAGCATCTGAAGAGCAGGTGAGCCTCGTCTTCTTCTTCTTCTTAAACGCACAAAAAACAAACTACAAAGCTCCTGAAACTGAGATGAAAGAAATCTGTGTCTCCTTCTGATCTGAATCCGAAAATTATCTAGCAGCTAATGTTGTCAGTATATTTCAAGTAAAGACTTTGTGCCAAAAGTTTTTAGTTTTAGTGAAACCTCAGTTAACCTCCACATTTTAAATTAAAAGTATATACGTTTTATCATGACACTTTACTTACCAAATGTAACACATTCATTACGCAAAATATCACATACAATATTGTTATACTAGTTTTCCTGATGCATCATCCCTTTAATATTGCAGCTGGTAAAGGTGGCGAATATGTTTTATTATATAATAATTTTTTTGTTGATTGTAGATTGAATTAATAACCTTAATCTTAAAAGTACTTAACTAATGCTGTCAGTATATTTAGTGTAGCCTAAAGTAAATATTTCCCAGTAAGCGTAGTGGAGTAATGAGTAAATACTCCAGTTAAAGTACATGTACTGTATATAGATGCTATGTAATAGTTTCTCATTCATTACTGTCATGTGTTAGATAACCCACAAACATGTATGCAGCATCATAATTCCCGCAGACTCACCATGACATATTGATTTCCCATAAACATCCATATCTCCATTATCTCTGTTCCACATGTTTCTGCACACACATGCATCCTTATCCATTAGCCCCCCCCCCTCCCTTTAATAGTCTGCATGTACGTCTCTCACACACATTCTGATATTCATCTGACATTTCAGCACTTCCGCCCCCAGCCCAGTGTGACACACAGAGCACTTCCATTACCTTAGGTACAGTCTGCTGACATTACCACACACACACACACACACACACACACACACACACACACACACACACACACACACACACACGGTTGAACAGAACATCAATACTCTGCTGGAGCATTTCTATATACCAAGCAACTAAGTACTCATTATGGACATTTTACTTACATTGTTCTTATTTCTCAAACTTTTTATTTATTTAATTAAATACAAAATGTATCTACTCTTTTATTTGCACTGTAACTGCGCTTTTTGGGGGGATTTTCATTTTTTTTAGGGTCAAAGCTTCATGACAAAACCTCAATATAAAATGTAATCATGAAAAAGTGTGACATCGATGTGGCGCCTCCTGGATGTTTGAGTCGACTACAAATCCTCATTGACACCTGTGCGCAGGGTGGTGTAAATCATGTATGGATGAGGAGGTGTAGGACACGTAGGAGGAGTGGTGAGTGAGTGGGGGTTAACACATATCCCCCTCCTCTCTACATGCGATCAGGTATCAGAGCCTCACACCTCTCCTCAGTGAGCAGCAGATAACCCTGACGTCTCAAACTCAGCATTAACATGCCGCTGACCCTCCTCTCGTCGCGGCGCGGTGAATAATTTCTAATTAGGCATCCCTATCTCCTCCTCTGCGCGCTGTAATTAATGTTTCATGAGGTGTGGGACCCTGTTAATGACTGAAAAGGCAATTAAGGTGCGTCTCCTCTGTTTTCTTTTCCCGTCACTATCCTTCCACATGTTTGTTCTGCAAAGACACGTGATCCATATAGCATTCTTTACGTCGTGGTGAGGAAAACACCAAGCTTCCAGTGTTTTTTCCGATTCATGCACATGCTTCCTGGATGGAAAGACTTCCATCACACAGCAGGGGCTTTGAGGGGGGTTGCATGGCGATGGAGGCAGGTGGTTGTCACACAATGTGAGCCTTTGACCTGCAACGCTGGAGGTGCAGCTTCCTCCCCCAATGTCTCACATCTCTTTTTCATCACAAGCCTCTGAAAGCACCACGGGGGGTCTGCTCTTACATCTTGACCCCCTATTGCTCATCCTCCTCTTCTTCACTTCCTGCCTCCATGCAAGTGCTTGTTAGTGCTGCCCCCTTTAGTCCGCAGCTGACGTATCAATCAACCCCAAATGAGTGTAAATATCCCCTTAAAGAGAGAAGCCCCTTCATCGTCCTCCTGTGTTAAAAACATCCTTATACTGAGACCCTCACATGAATTTATGAGCGTGTGACAGAGAAGGGGAGATGAATGAGTGAGGATGTGCAGAGGCTGTAAACAGTGCTTTAGTGCGGCGGTGTCCCAGGTGTTAAGTAAAGCCAAATGAAGTGCAGGCTCCAATAAAAGCAGCTCCTGTATAATCTGTCAGTTAGAGAGGCCACCGCCAGCGAAGCAGGATTTTTCCCCCTGATTGATATCATTCATATCCCCTCCTCATAGCTCCTGCCTTAAGTACACAGTCTTCTTTCCTCCTCCATGATATAAAAGTGGAGGCTAAAGTGCCTTTAATGCATTAAGGTAATGCGGTGTGGGAGTTTTTTTTACAAGAGCGGCGGCGTCTGAAAAGTTTGGATCAATCCTCTGAAGTTGAGTCCAATAAAGTCCCCCCCCCACTCACTCTGCAGGTGTGCCATTAACTGAACAGTTTACAGCTTTTGAGTGTGTGTCACCGGCTGACAAAATAATTATCTTCAGGCTGCAGATGCATCAGCCACGCAGCTGTAATTAAGACAGACACAGAGGGTGTGCAGATCCTCCAAAGCGCCATCCACAGGATTCATAGACATTATTCCATCAGAGTGTATTCCACATCCGATGCCTCAAGGTCTGCACAGATTGCTTCATGGCTGCAGGCTTTTTATAGGATGAACTTTGCATGTTTGAAAACCCTGTCACAGGCAGCATGGTGTCCTTCATGTGAGATTGCTTTTGAAATTGCATTAAAAAGCTTGTAAATAGCGAGGACTATGGCTTAGGACGGATTTAAAGTTTTCTTTGAACTCAATAAAGTCCCATTTCCAGTTTCTTTTGAACTATTAGTGGTGCGAATCTACTATGTTCCACAGATTTTTATGGATTGCTTCCTGTCTGATCACAAATTGAGGTTGTGCAGCGGTGATGTGACCTTTCTGAGAGGAAGGAAGCTGCAGAATTATTTTTGAGCCTGTCGTGCCCTTATCTGTGTCTGGCCTTGTTTGTTTTAAATTACATGGAAGAAGGAGAGAGCAGAGGGGAATAAAGGAGAGAGGACACTACAGTAGGGAGCTGCTGGATTATATTTGAACAATGTGGTGCTGTATGCATCATTTCCCCCAATGCACGGATTGCAAAGATGGTCCTTTCAGTTTAAGAATCTGCAGTTAAAAGATGATGAATTGTTTTAAGATCTCTTATCTGAGGAGAGCAGACACATCCGATCTACTGTCTTGAATGCTGAGTCAAAATGGTGAATACTGTATGAAGAAAGATCTTTTTCCTGCAGACAGAGAAATGAGAGGAAGGTAATTGATAAAAACCCACAATTCATTCTGCCCTTATTGGATGCATTTGTGTGAGTCTTCAGTCCTTGGGAAAGGCAGCTGAAATGAACACAGGGGGATTAGGGTCCTGATTGGAGGATGAATTTAGTCTCCATGTGCTGCTGCTGTCTGATTACACTCTGCTGCATCTTATAACATCGTCTCTAGATTATACAGCGTCACACCGGTGCTGCAGCTTTAGCAGGTATAAATAATGTTGGAAGAAGATGGTGCGTGTGCAAACCTCAGCAAATCATGACTTACTGCGGTAACTTTGCAATATTTGGCGAGATCTGGGCAAGACATATTGAGAAAAGCTAATTATTTTTGTTCTTAGTTAGTCATGATTTTCTATCATTTGCCCGTTGTTGTTGTTGTTGTTGTTGTTGTTGTTGTTGTTGTTGTTGAAGGTTGCCTTTCAATCTTTGCAGTGTTTTCATTTTAAAAAGACCCTATTCTGCTCATTTTAAGGTTCATATTACCACATTGTTCCTACTGGGACATGTCTCCATGCTTTAATGTTCAAAAAGGTCTTTATTTTCCTCATACTGCCTGTGCTGCAGCACCTCTTTTCACCCTCTGTCTGAAACCAGAGCCCAGTCTGCTCTGATTGGTGAGCTGGCCAGCTCTGTTGTGATTGGTCAACCCATTCGAGCTGTCTCTCCCTTTAGCCTATCATGTACAATGTGTAGGAGGTGTTTCAGGGCCTCTTTAAACTAGATGGGCACTTGGGGAGCACAGACCTCTGTAAAGGCAGTTTGCTTAAGTGAAACATCATTTGATATAGCAAATCTGGGGACATATTACTTCTGGAATGTTCTGCACCTAACAAAGATATTTTGGGCTCAAATTGCGGAAGCGGATTTGTGAGATAGATGTGCATATTTTCTCCAGCTCAAAGTGACCAAGCGTACATTTTACGTTCACAATCCTTTATGTATAATACCCTTGATCATTTGAGTCCTGTGGTGTGGTTTTATTGGAGAATATGAATGGTAATTATATTAGTATGTGATGGATATAACAAATGAAAGTCTGAAGGAGATACGATGGTTTCAATTCTTTAGTGCATGTTTGAGAGCCCTGTCCCTCTGATGGGCATGATAATCCTGCTTTTATATTTGCACTTGATACACTGCACATAAGCAGAGTCTCTGACTGAGAGGTGTAGCAGGGCTCCGGTCATTGTGAGTGTAATTTGTGATGGTTGAAGGGCGACTGCTTAATGAAGCGCTGTTGTGATGTGCACTACATAACTTCACCTAGGGGTGCTTTGGGTCCCCTGAGGCGCTCTGTGCAGCAGGAGGGATGCAGATGCTGCTGTGGAGAGCATGCAATTTGCTCAAAGGCATCGTCAAATGGAATATAGTCCAGTGTTTGCTGCACAATGACCTCAACGTGCACGCCAAAGTGTCTTCCTAAACCACAGTCATCCAAGTAAAATACAAAACATATTCGGATCCATGCGCTATGCTTCAAAGTAATTCCAACTTAACCGCAAAGGTATTCTGGTTCGTCCAATCACAACGCAAGAAAACTCAAATGAAGTGTGTCTCTGTTTCCATAAGTGGCATTAAAAAGACTCTTGAAAAAGTCTATTTGATACGCTTTCCCATATGCTATCTATGCATACTGCTCTTGCTTTGTGGCTCTTCACCAGTTTTAACTAAAGGACCGCGGGGCCCTCGGGGGCCGATCATTGTGCAGCTCAGCAGCGGCTCCACTTCCTGTCTCCTCCTCCCTGTGGGACCTGCAGCCTGCAGTTTACTCTCCATATCTCTAATTGCCACTGAGGGAGCCTCTGCCTCTCGCTGCGTGTTGCTCGGTACCAGCCCACAGTGGACGCTTCCACCAGTAAATCCAACATTAGGGGATTAATTAGGCAGAAAACAACGGGTCATAAGAGCGCTAACGACAGAACAACAAGGCACTGGTCTTACTCTGTGCACAGCAGACACAGCTACGGCCGAGAGGGGGCTAATTAGCTTCAGAGCTTAGCTGTGTTTTCATCTGGGAGAATATTATATGTCCAGGAATATCATTCTTGTTATAAAGCTATATTACAAGATCAGGTTGACATATTTAAAAAACTGTTGTTGCATTTCTGATAATATACTAATAAAGAAGACTTAATGACATTTTGTTCCTTTAGATTGCTTTAAATACAAAAAATGATCTGCTACATTGAGTAAGAAACAGCTTTTTATTTACACATCTAGCCGTCACATTAGTTTGGAGTCGGCTCGCAACCAGATTCAATATTAACAGTCTGAAATCTGTCTCTTCAGCTGATTTTACTTCACATATTATCCCTTATATTTATCTGTATTCAAATGTATTTGAACGTCTGCTGTGCTCTTGTGTTTGTTATGTTTTAATCTGTTTGAGTATTCCTTTGATGCAACATAAACTGTCCTTGGGTGACACCAATTCTCAAGGCGCCTCAAAATACATTTGTATAATTATTTTGGTTAGCTGACACATCTATCCAAAGTGTCTTAGAGTAAGTGCAATCAAGCAATTTGCATGTTAATATTGTCACAGTTTATGTGTTATGATGCCATATCTGTCTCCTCATCATCTCGTCGTGGAAGAAACCCTCTCTAACCAACAGATTTAGTGAGTTAGGATCTTATTCTCTCTGAGTTTGTCACTGCAACAGCCCTCTTTCACATGACACATTTCTATTGTCTGTATGAGTATCTTTTATAGCGCAGCTTTAGAGTGGAAAACCACCAGTTTCCATATCCAGATGCAACTGTTGCTTGACAGAAAGCTAACCTGTGTGTTCTCTTCCAGGTTCGGTGATGGCTACACGGTGACGGTGCGTGTGGGCGGCTCCCCCCCCGCTCTGGAGCCGGTGGAGGGCTTTGTGCAGCAGGGGTTCCCAGGCAGCGTGCTGAAGGAGAAGCATCACAACACGCTGCAGTACCAGCTGCCCTACACAGAGGGGGCGCTGGCACACATCTTCAGCCAGTTCACCTGCCACCAGCAGCGCCTGCAGGTGGAGGACTACTCCGTCTCCCAGACAACGCTGGACCAGGTCAGAGCCACAGCTTTTAATATACTAAATATTCATATTCTATAAAAAGCAGGCTTATCAAAGGCTTTATTATAGGCAGAAAATAGAAAGGTACAAATGAAATACAAAATAGGTAAAAGATAAATATTGTAAAATGGTGCCAGATGAAATTGAAATCAAATAATGCAGAGGTGAACAACACCGTCCCTGTGATCAACCCTCCAGAGTATCTCTCTCCTGGGTAAAGGTACAAATCAATCAGCGGAAATCTCTCCATCTCCATCCATCCAGTGTTACTGCGACACAAAGCCAGCAGTATCTATAATATAATCTATACCATCAGAAATGAAGCAATATATTTGCAAAACATGTTATGTTAAGGTGCTCGGCACACACTGTTCTTCCAGTTGCTGTTTTGCATTGTTAGCTTGACAGCACCTGGAAATAGAAAAAGCAACACCGGCTCCATGAAGCGAGAAGCATTTCCACCTTGCTCTGGGCATTGTATGTTTCTTTTGTGAAACCATGGTTATTTCCAAAGGTTAGTTAAAGGTGCAGAGTGATGATGGCAAAGGTGTTCAGCTCTTTAACAAAACATTTTGAGCGGAGCATGGGAGGGAAATTGCTTAATCATTTATTTAAGAGCAGAACATCCGTTTTGAAATTCATCCGTTTCGGGTAGAAATGTGCCAAATGTCATTTTATTCATTATTGTTACTGTCATAATAATTATTATTTATTATTAATGTATTGCATATTTATGTGAATATATATATATCTTTTTTTATAATGTTTACTTTTCGATAAAAAAACTTCTGGAGTTATTGAAATGCCTTGAACAATTTATAAAATCTAATTCCACAAATATGTAATACTTATTGTATCTAGTGTAGCCTCAGCTTTATCAGACACTATGCACAATTACCAGCTTTAATCAGAATCACTTCACACGTAAACATGTATTTCATTTTTAATGAAGCATACATATATTTAGCATCTATTTGCAGCCGATGTCAGTCTCCCCATTTAACTTGTGATTGAAGAGCATCCGGGTCCTGCTCTGTACTCCTGCTGTTTTCCTGCAACTCTTGGCTCAGTTTAGCAGATCATTAGTGCTTCAATCAATGCATTGAGCATTTTGAAGTGCCCTCAGTTAAAGTCCGCTCAGTGCAGGGTCTCAGTTAAAGATCCCTCTCTGCCCACACGCTGTTAGGCTGACCGTCGAGGACTCCTCTGAGTCTCTGCAGCAAACACAGCCCGGCCTCGGCTCTGCCGATCGATCAGGATCTGCACAAAGGTTTTTCTTAAAATAAAACGCTCAGGCAGCCAGCTGTGAGATGAACTGAGGCTGGGTTCTACAGGCGGGCTTCACCTTGTGTTTCTCAAACGACCCCTAGGAGCAGGCGCAATCAGAGCGGAGAGAAAGTGTGTGTGTGTTTCCCTCTAAGGGTTCTGGCAGGTCATCAACATGCTTTAGAGAAAGGATTTAAATGGAGAAGTATGAAGCATTTCCTTATCAATTCAAGATGAATGTTCTTTAGCTTTATTTAAGCAGATTGTGTTCTTCATGGGGCAATGAGCCTATCATGAAATCAGACTTTTGGATGTTACTTTGAAGAACTCAAGACTTCCAAACTCACAGGTGGATATTGTAATGCCTCTCCTTAGTTCCTAACTCACACGTCATCACTAGGGCTGTATGATTTGGAAAACTAACACATTTTTTATGTTTCGACTATAACTGCAATTGCAATATGATTCAGGCCATTGATCATTTTGGTGAGAGAGAAAGTCTTTGGGATTTCAGCCTTTGCGGTCCATGTACAGTACATGCTCACAAACCTCTAGAACAAACTGCAGGGAAAGGAAAACAGCATAAATAAGAATAGGACCTCTTTGTTAAATATTTCTCAGATAAGAGTCAGTAAATAACTGATAGTTCCATGTGCAGACTGCCACCTCTCAGCCTGTGATTTATAGCGAGCAGCGTTGACCTGTAGGATGGCAGACGACCTGCACTGCGATTAGTATTGATCCACAGCCTGCAGCTCAGCGCTAACACACACAGGAACATGTGACTGTGTGTGTTAGCGTGGACTATTTTCTACTGTTCTACCACTTAATGTGCACTAGAGTCTCTGCTGCACTACTAAAGCCTTTAGCACATAAGATATCATAGCTTAATTATCACTTCCCTGTCTTCGTATATTTAAAAAGCAATGTGACCTTCTTAGAGTTAATGTAACTCCTGTCTGTTACTGTTAAACAATTTCAATATTGCAGAAGCTGTAACACGCTGTGACAACAGTAAAGGTGACTTACAGTCCAATTAACTGGTATTATAGTGAAATGAGCCCTAATCTAAATGATAGATTTAATAAAACAAATATCCATTATAGATCCAAAGTGATTTGTGATTATGCTTCAAATATGCATACACTCTTTTTATGACATTTGACTGACGTTTTATCTTGGAATGAACCAAGGATGAAAGTCTGCTTTTGTTACATTTCAAATGTGACTGAAAATCCCTCCTTTAAAAAAATCTGACTTCTAAGTAAAAACCTTGTCAAAGTAGAGACGGCCGAATAATTAATGCCACCACTGGAGGAAAATTCTCTTCAAAATGACTCAACAAAAAGGAGACGTGTAGAAATGATATTCTATGTTATTTGGAAGGACCATAATATTAAGGAAAGGATATTTTATTGCAGCAGCAAAGCCGTAAACCTCCTCTTTTGTTCAAATGTCATCTTTATTAGTAGCATTACATTCTAAAGCTGAAGATCTAAGTGTGTTACTGAAACAGAAGATCTTTACTCTCCATTTTCTCACATGGTTACCCTCTATCTATCCATTCCATTGAATAGGGCGTGTGTCTTTGAAAAGGATTGAATTCAGTGACGTCTGATTGAATTGCTCTTATTGTTCATACAATCTCACGTATCCTTTTACATCCCGAAGCAATGCTCTTATACTTTGATATGATGCTTCCTTGCTGTTTAATTTAGAGGCTTCTTCTTCCTCTTCTCCTCTTCTTCTGCTTCAGGTGTTTGTGAACTTTGCGAGGGACCAGCATGCGGAGGAGGACGCTCGGACCTTCGACAACGCCGTGGACACTTCAGACGAGCTGCCGCTGAAGGCGGTGAAAAGTCAAGAGGAACACCTGAAACGAGTCTGAACACATTTCAATTGACTCTGGCCGAGGGATGATGACGTTTCTGAATCTGCATGATGTGTCCAGAAATGACACATTTAAATGTTTGTCTTCCATCGCCCTTTGTACCCAATCATCTCTTACTTAACCAATCTTACTCCAGCCTTATCGTGCGTAATCAAATCCTTGTTTCATTAAAGTGAAAGAATACTCTTTTAGCAGTTTTAAATATGTTTTATATTTTGTCAGTGGAAAGAGGAACTGCAAAGAAAGGACAAAAATAATGAGTTTATTTTATTAAAAACAAGTAAGGATATTGAAATGAGTCTTAAATAGGAGAACATTTCAAAAAGAGTTGGTGAATGCACTGTTATCAAGAGAAATTACCATTTAGAAAACTAGTAAGCTTTAAGGACTTCATTCAAAGTAGAAGATTATTTCAACGTGTCTGCATCAGGAGAAATCTTCTTCCTACACTGCACTGATTAAAGAGAAATCAAACACTCTTACTGCACTTTTTCAGGTTTTCTAATCAACTCTAAAGACTTAATTTCAGAAGAAAATGACTTAATTTGAAGGACGCCGCTTAATGCTTGTCTGGGTTTTCCCTTTCCTGTAGTGTGTTATACTCATTTGCAGCACTGACGCTTCTATAGGCTAGCACTCCAACACATTGACATCTCTAAGCGGTTGACCAATCAGAGCAGACCTGGGCTCTGGTGAACATGTCACAGTAGAAGCACAACATACTAACATGAGCATGGTAGGGCCTCTTTGAGGAGATGTTTGGTATAAGGTTTACTTTGCCGTATATTGGAGTAACAATCCTCTGAAAGCTTCACACACTGCACAGGATGCCTCGGGATCAAACCTTATTTGAAATGATATTTGAAATGAGTTATAATTTGCTGCTGGTTCTAATGATGCACCACAGTTAGTTGCTACCTCATATTTCCCACTCGTATATCTCTGCAGAATATCTAATGAATGTTTCCAACAGATTCATATTTAATGACATCTTTAAGGCATTTTCTTGTGAAATGTATTTTATTTATCGCTTCTTCTTCTTTGCAGAATCTAAATAACATACGACCAGAAGAGAACTGTCATAATATTACATAATTAAATATATATATATATTTATTCACAACGTGCCTTCAAACACCAGCATGCCTTATTTACTCTAAGATGTGTAAACAACGTCATAATATGCAACTATATAGAACATTTAATTGTGATTTTTTATCTTTACTTTCATTTCCTTATCATGTTTACCATTTAGAAAATGCCGTTTACAGTGATAGTTTGCACTGACAACAAACATGTCACCTCTGCATATCTCAGGAATGTGTTTATGTGCAATTTGCCTCAGGACAATCTACATGTAAAGAGTTATTTATAATAAATCATGCTTGTGTGTACTGTACAACATTTAAAGATTGTCTCAAATCATTCAAAACAACATTTTCTTTTGCAGCTTTATTGACTTTAGGAGGTGAACACTTCCTCTCATCAAAACGATTAAACTTGTTGCTACATTGTAACATGATGCACTCTCTGTTGTCTTCCTGCACCCACTGTCTTCCTGCTCACTTCTTCTTCATGTGTTTGACATTTGTTGAGCATGTCCACAGGGGGCCAGAAGACAGACGGCAGTGCAGAGAGACTTTTATTTCACATTTAGAAACTCGTATTCCTTTCTTTATTTTCCTTGTCTCCTGCAGTGCATTCATTTGAATGTATTGTCTTTTTTCCAAATGAAATACAAAGCGTGTATGCCTTAAGGTTGGACCACATGTTTCCTAAATTATAATTTCATTTCCATTAACAATGTCCGGTTTCCTTCCTACTCAACTGATCTATTTGAAGTGTCTGCTCTAATTTTCACTCTGAACAATAGATATGGATGAAGATGGTTAACTGATCATTCAGACATATCTGGAGAAGATGCACGACGAGTGGCAGACATTTTCAATTATTTCTGTAGGTAGGCTATGTTTATGTTGTTCTTCTATCTAAATCGAAAAAATATTGTGTGATATTATTTATGTAATACGAATACATCCTATTAGAAAAAGGAAGTCATGTGACAGCCTTATTATTTTAAAAAACAACTAATAACAGAGCTGGGAAAGGAGGTCAATATTCAGAGAGAAATTTATTAAAAAGTGGTACATTTACAAGAAAAAACTCAAGTAATTTGTGGTTATAAAGTTTCAAAATAATTATGATTTTTTAATTAAATAATATACATAAATAAAAAAATATGAATATAGAGCCTTAGATTTAAAATACAAAAATAATGCTTCATGAATAAAACTAAAACTCTTCACAAGTTTCCGCCACTGCTGCAGCATGTTGAAGGTCGTACTTTTTGTGAGTCCTTGCATTTTTCCCATGATGCAGTGCAGTAAAGCAATGGAGAACAGATGTATCTTTCTCTTTTGGCCGACTTTGCTTATCTGAGGGTGCAGGGTGCTGATACTGTGAGGTCTCCAAACTGCGGCCCTTCAGATTTAAACAGCGCCCTCTTCTCTGTACTCCACCCACGCTAAGGTCAAACCATCCCGATTGAAGGGAGGGGGGGGGAATATTTTCTGCAACCAAAGAGGGGGAGACCAAGGTGGCCCTTCAACATGGCCCTGAACGCCCCGTCAAAATAAAAGCGCGTGTGAATCATCCGGACGCTGAGCTGATCAGTATGCAGCTGCAGGCGGAGGTGTGTGTAGCATTAATGGCTTATTTCTTCTGTTTAACCCCTAACCCTGCACTGCATAGCAAATCAACTGCAATTAAACTTTCACCACGTTTACATACATTAAATCCAACTTTATTCTGAAAAACAATGTTTCACCAAGCTGTTTAAGATGAAAACTAGTATTATCAGTAGTATCAGTAAACTCTGATTAACTTAAAAATCCCCCGATGAGATACGTCTCGCCCTTCAAATAACTTTCATCATATCAGCTGAGGCCATATTACTCAAAGTGAACACTCTTTGCCATTGTTTCAAATGTTTTTGAAAACTTACAAAGGAGAAGAAGAAGAAGGACTATTACGAGGAGATGAAGAACAATGAATGACGCAGTGATGTGATCAGGTTTGTCCTCCAGGTGTCTGCCGATGATTCATTAAGCTCTGATGTAATTGTGGAGGAGTAATAATCAACACTACAAAGATAATTTGCATAATCTACGCAAGTCCTACGGAGACATGATGTAACGACTTTTGCAGAGGAATAACTCAGCGCTGATTGCTAAGGTGACTTAAAGGAAGCTAGATAACTCAAACACAGGCCATACTCTATCAAAGACTATTCTGACGCCTTGATAAAGTTTCAAATGTCATCACATCCTTCTGAGAGAAATAACCCAATAGAAGCACTGTCATAAAAGAGGCTTTGCATTATTCTTTATGGAAGCTACTATCTTAAATTAAAAGAAGGAAAGAATAAGAAAGATCCTCCTTTACTCAAACCAGGAGACAAGATGGAGATTTCAGTGTGACATGTATGCAAAATGTCAACAAAGGCAATTCACTTGAGGAGGAGAAGCGTTGTTAGGACGACAAAAGCAGAAGTGATATTTCTTTACAGCACAACACACACTGGGAAACTAAAAGTCCATGCAACGTTTAGTTTTCTCTCTCTGGAACCTGATTTCCATTGCAGGAAAACAACATACCAAAGTTGACAAGTTAATATTCAAATCAAATCCCTACTGGTGTTCATTTTAACACGAGCATCCTGTTTCATGTTGAACAGGGGGAAGTCTAGACACATTTCTATGGAGATAAAGAAGTGAACAAATAGCTGTATACGTAAATAAAAACATCAAAGACTTAAATGAAGTTCAAAGCAAAGAATAAATAATCTCAGAACAATAGTTGCGTTTCTAAAATAGCCCAACAAAGATTTTAAAAGAGCGATTTTTCACTTTCAAATCCCCAAATGTCCTCTTCTTACTTTTAAGCTTCAGGCATGACTTTGTTTCAGCCACAGGCAATGTGAATATCTGCATGTGTTGAAAATTATAAAATGTGAGTTATTATTGCACAGATCTCCTACTTATGTTTATCTAAGTATTAAAGTGCACCTATCATGCTATTTTTAGGCATATGGGTCTCAGATATATAAAAACATGTCTATGATGTGTTTCTCTCAAAATACAAACAGATCATGCATTTTAGACATCCCTTATATCCCTCTATTCCAGTTCCAGCTCTGTTAGAGAAACGCGGATTTTGGGTCCTTAGCTTAAAAAAATAAAAAGAGGAGGCGGAGCTAATGCCTGATCAGAATTCTACCGGAGATAAAGTAAATTCTGCTGTAATAAAACACCATCCTGTTCTAAACCACATCAAAGATTATTTCTGAAACAGTATGGAGCTCAAATGCTTTTTTCTCTTGCAGGTTTATCACA